ACAATATACCGTGTTCATCCATCTCCAGCAAGAGCAATATCTGGGCCCCCTCCAGACTGACAGATAAGCCAGGAGCAGGACAAGGAGGCAGAGAAGGCCCACTATGCAGACCCGGAATGCTTAAGACACTACATCCATAAAAATTTGTATCACTTTAAAAAAAACCCAAAGGCCCGCTGATAATCTCCCTCTCAAAAAGGATTACTTTCTCATCAGAATGATGAGGAGATGATCCCAGAACCTAAAGAAAATGAAGCATCTCTAATGAGGAGCAGAGCCAAGTGGTTGCCTGGAGGACGACAGTGAACACAGGAATTGAGCTCAAGGAGATGGTCTGGGCCTCTGGACACAATTCTGAAGGAAAAAGGGATGGGTGCCGGGCTGTGCCGAGGTGACAGAACCATGTGGCACAGCTTCCAGGTGCTCCAAGGGTACACCAGTGAACTGCCCTCCTACAAGCCAGCAGTGGTGAACCTACGGCCCACATGCCTCAGAGGGATGCTTGTATCATTGAAAGCTCTAAGAAGTTCACCATCACTGCTAAAATTAATTTTGTGGAACCAATAAGCTGTTTCTGCTACTTTACACAGACAGGACTATCAAGCTTTAGAGATAGCGATGATCACCATCTTCATTTTATAAGCAGGACTAAGAGGCAGAGTGAGTCCTCATGGAACTGACTACAGCCACTTTAACCCATGTTCCTGACTCCCCGCTCTTTCTTCCCTTGCCGGGACAGCTGTGAAGCTCTGAACAGCCACCAATAAGGGCTACTGAAAAATCATGGCAGGTCATCTGTGTTATAAGAGGTCACACTCTTCTTTTCTCTTCAACACCAGATAAATGCAAAAGAAAAATCTATAGTCACATTGCAGCTATAAATCCTACTGACCAAAACCTACTGTTGACCAGGCACTGTGCTAGGAGCCTGTGTCCACTCACTTCTTATAGTGCTTATGACCCAGGATGGAGTTATAACCCCGTTTTACTGAATAATGAAGCTTACAGAAGTAAAGCAAGGTGCTAACGCTCATACTAATAAATCAGTGGCAGTCCTAGATTCAGACCAGTTTTCTAGCAGTTTCTACTGTACTACTGGCCCTCAAAGTTTTGCTAAAGAATAAGTTCCTTAATCAGCTGACTAGCAAAGCAGTACACAGAGCTTTGTCTGGTGAAAATGACTGAATCATTATATATGAAACAAACATCCTGAACAATGGTAACAAAGCTCTATAATCTCAGTATAAGCATGGACCCTTAACAAGGAGAGAAGTTTCTTACAAAATTCCTATTTTTTATTCTACAAATCTTTGTTCCACAGATCTTAAAATATTTTGTCTCTTCTCCTTTTTTTGGCGGGGGGGCAAAAACAAATCCACACAAGCAGAAGAGAAGGATTAGGGCAAGGTCAGCAAGCAGGGAGAACTTTCCACACCGAGTGGGCACTGAAGTGCAAGCACCAAGCGGACCATGGAGAACTTCGCCATTCCAGTTCACAGCCTCCCTGTAGCTGGACAGCTTCCCCTAATGCTTTCACCTTCTGGCAACCACCTGCCACCTTTACCTTCTGGAAACACAGGCACTCAGCCAACCTGGAGATTTCTGCTTGGTGAACTGAACACAAATACATCTCATATTCCAGTCTGAACACAGCCTTGAAAACTGGAATTCCCTTCAGTGCTACTGCCATCTCTACAGGTCCCTTCTGCTTGTAGGGAGGCTAGCCTCTGTAAAGGCAGAACATCCCAAAAGGTCTGTTCTTAACCAAGGAAGACATAGCTTTGAGCCCGCTTTCCTCAATATATAGACCAGACAAACAGAAACACTAGTCAGGCTAGCTGGGAAGAGTACGACCAATTTCATTTTCTTAGAGATATTTTGGAGCGTTACTAGTGGTTTCAGGATCTGGAAATGCAAAAAATGAATACAATATGTGTTCTGCCCTTGAAGAGTGCAAGTCCAGTATATTTCAGACTATTACAATAGTCTCTTCAGAAGGTGACTGTGATATTAATGTGATAAGTGCACGATCACAGAGGTTTAGGAGATGATACAAGAAAATGGGATGAGGGTCTGGAGTGTAGCTTAGTGGTCGAGCACTCGTCTAGCATGCATGAGGCCCTGGATTTGATCTTTAGCACCCAAATGAAAGAAAGGAAGTGGGGACAAGACAAGGGAATTAAGCTAGCAAAAGGTCCTCATGGACTGGGCTTATAAGATGGGTAGTTTTCCAGGCAAGGAAATGGGAGGCGGAGGGACATTCCCAACAGAAGGGACAGTGTGTTCAAAGACTCATTTTATGAAGTGGCCTGAAGCCCAGTGAGTAAAGACAAACAATGTCTGTACAAGAGGGGAGGCACAGATGAGCAAAGGAAGGGTCTCAGATTATTACGAAGGTTTCCAAGGCATCTAGGAGCCAAGGGAGTATTTAAGGCAGCAAGTAACATGCTGAGGTTGTATTTTTTTAAGTGATTCTGGCAGACATGTTTAGTGCAGGCAGGGATCTATATCAGTGCTGCACAAAAGGAATAAAATGCAAGCCATGGAGCCGAGCCACTTAAATAATTTTAAATTTTTTATTGGCCACATTTAAGATAGCAAATAAGTGAAAGTAATTTAATAATGTATTTTTTAATTAACTTTTTTTCTTTTCAGTACCTGGGTTAGAACCCAGGAACTTGAGCTTGTGAAGCAAGCAAGGCATCACTGAGCTAAATCCCTGGCCCTTATTAATGTATTTTAAATCCTCAAGTCTAAGTTATTATCATTCAACATGTAATGAATGTCTTTAAAATTGTGAATGTGGCAGCTTACATATTTTTGTGCTACATCTTCTAAATCAGGCACACTTGTAGCAGATCTCAATGAGACTAGCCATGCTGTAAATGCTCAAAGCCAATGTGGCGAATGTCTACCACACCAGACAGCACAGACCACTGATGAGGTTGCAGTCAACAGTCCAAACACAAGATGATCAAGCTCTAGGGAAATCTTTCTGGCTGTTGGATATATGTTAAACTATGACTGAAATGTAAATTTTAAAATATGTAACTGTAAAAACTTGTTAGGTAATAATTTACACAGTTTAAAAATAAAAATAATCCAGCAGAGTACAATGAACAGTGTTGCTCCCATCCTCTTCTGTCTACTCCTTCCCTGTTCATGCCCTACCCCACCCACCTACTAGATGTAACCACTTTTATCAACATCCTCTTTTTGTCTGTATTGATTCTTCAATATTTTCTCCATGGAGATACAGCAGAGGTAAATAAATTCAAGTTTTATCTCCTTTCTATATCAAAGGTAGCATACTATGTATTGTTTTATTCCTTGTTATATTTAATAACATATTTTTGAAATCTTTCCAGATAAATATATATAAATAGTTTCCATGTTCTCTTTAAAATGCACAATATTCCACTGTATGGACGGATCATGGTTTATTTAGCCAGTCTTCTACTAATGGATACTTGACCTGTTTCCAATATTTTCTATTACAAACAATGGTCTAATGGAAAACCTTCTATGTACATCACTTTATATGTATTCAGATGTTTTCCTCAGGAAAATGTGCCAGCCCCAGATTGCTGGGTCAAAGGGTAATTGCATTTGTAATCCTGACAGATACTGCCAACCAGGGTTTCAGATGGTTTGTGCCATTTTGTGCGGCCCTAAAAGGTACAACACTAATTTTCCCACACCTGTTCAACAATGTATAATTGTCAGACTTTAGAATTTTGCCAATCTGATAAAATGAAAAGCACTACTTCAGCAGAGTTTAAATTTACATTTCTTGTTTTCTGTGTGAGTGAACATTTTTCTTAGGTTAAAAGACCATGCATTTCTTATTTTGTGAATAATCTGCTCCAGTTCTTTGCCTTTTTCCTATTGGTCTGTAAAGTTGTTCTTTATATGTAGGAGCTCTTTATATAAAGAAATTAACCTTTTGTCCACTGAAAATTTTTTCCTGCTTATCATCTGTCTTTTGAATTTGCTTATGGTGGTTTAAACAATCAGGTAAAAATGTTTTATTTAAATTTAGTCAAATTTATTATTTTCTTCTTTTATTGTTTCTGGATTTTGAGTCAGTTTAAAAGCTCTTCTTTGCAAGGTTATGAAGGACTTCACCCATATTTTCTTTTCTGATGATTATAAGTAAAACCAAATATATATTCACATTTTGAAATCCTTTTAAAAAATATCCATTTTCTGCTCAGTGGTGGAGCACTTGTATATATGCAAGGCTCTGGGTGTGAGGCCAGCCCCACACATATGTACACACAAAACCAATTTTCACTTTTTACAACTAAAGTAAACCAGACATTTTCTACATTGCCTTCCTGATTTCTTCTTTTTTTTTCTTTTTCACAATGTTGATGAATATCTCATCATCACATAAAGTTTACAGATCAAGCTGAAGTTCATTTGAATTGCATGAGATACCCAACAAACAATATTTGTCTGGATATCTACCCACTTGGCCCAATACCATACTACAAGTTTCATGGTTAGCCCATTGAAAATACAATTTTAAATAATATTTTATTTGTGTAAACATTATCTTACAAATTCATGGTTCTAATTCACTAGTCTAGACTCTACAGAGGTAAACAGAACTTATGCTACTCAGTTATTTGTGGGAATTGCCAAGTTTTGTGAAACTGAATTCATCACCATCAATATCTTTTAAGCAGATGCCTGACTTGAAGAGATACACAGACACAAGTTGCCATTCAGAACTGTACAAATTGAGGTCACTAAATTATTTTTAATATTTAATTTGTTTAAAAGGGAAACAATACAACACAATTAAAGTCTGGCAAAACTCTCACTGATGACAGAATTCTGGTTTACTCAAGTTCATTTTACATTATCACCAGTGTGGTATTTCAAAGAAAAGAAAGACAAAGAAAGGAGGGGGAAAACAGGAAATTGAAAATGATCCATCTCAGCTGGAAAAGTTAAAAAATATTTTTCCTGAGTTTTTCATAAAGATAAATAAAAATAAGGAACACTTCATGAATTTGTGTCTTTTCTTACACAGGGGTCATGCCAATCTTCTCTGTATAGTTTTGATTTTTAATGTGAAGCAAACAAAATTAATTATTTTTTTCCACAAAGGCTTGACATTCCCAATTTCCTCTATTCAAAAATTTAATGAACTGAAGTGTTTAAAGTAAAAATGTGAAAACTATAGTATTCTACACCAAATACCCTTGCACTCTATCTTAGCATCCTTCAAGTTTTATTTGATATGTACTATACACATTACCATGTCATTTGAAGTTGTGACGTTAGTTATTATAGATCAGTTTCTAAGAGGGATTCATACACAACAGGGGGGGGAGGGGGAGAGGGAGCGGGAGAGAGGCAGGCAGGCAGACAGAGGCACAGACAGAAAGACAGAAAGAGCAACACAGAGACAAAGAGAGATATTGAGGAGACTGAGGAGGAGAGATTGAGGGACAACATGAGGGAAGAGAGGGACAGAGAAATTGAGGAGACTGAGGGAGACAGATTGAGGGACAGAGGGAGGGAGGGAGAGGGGGAGAGAGAGAGAGAGAGAGAGAGAGAGACGCAGACAGAGACAGAGACAGAAATGAATAGCATATCCTTCAAAAGCAGCAAAGGGATCAGTTCCCACAGAAGATGCTGAGGGATTAGACACACACTAGAAACATTCCAGTAGGGTTACTAGTGGCAGATAAACATCAATGAAAACAAAGTGACCCCATAGAAGAAGTAGAGAAAGTATGAGGAAGAGGGCAGAGAGAACTGGAGTAGAGGCTACCCAGACATGAACAGGGCATAGCTCCCAAGATCTCTGCAATGTTTCTCAAAGGAGTTAAAAGTTTAAGTCAAGAGCCATGTAAACCAAGGGACCATCAAGAGACCACATTATCTCCCTATCCACTCCCACATGTCAAAGAAGCTCCTCTTCCCAAACTGCCTGCAGAAAACTGCTCAGAAACCTGCTCTCCAGCCCTGGGATGACTCTCCTGAATTTCCCTCTTTTCTCAGCTTGCAAGTGAGTAATGGAGGTAGTTTGTCTTTGTATCATGCATATCTTTATGGCTTATGTCTAGGTGTCCTCTCAAAGCCTCATGTAGTCACAGATAGTCATTTTTAGAGGTGGCTGGATCTACAGTGTGAGATGCTGGGGTGAAGGGTGTGTGATTACTAAATAAGTCCACTGATTAATTTGGCACTGCTCTAATCCTGGTAGTCTATACATACATACATACATACATACATACATATATATATATGTATATATATATGTATACATACATATATATATATATAAAAACCCCCACATGCCGTTTCTCCTCTGCAATGTCTGTCTGCCATGCCACCCTGCCTTGGAGCCAGCCAATTATGGACTGAAACTTATACAAACTGTGAGCTAAATAAACCTTTCCTTCCTTAACTTATGGGTGGTTGGGTATTTTGTTCCAGTAACCAGAAAAGTAACTAAAACACATATGGATCTAAAAATAACTACTAATGTCTATTTCCCTTCATCTCCAACAAAACCCTGCCTTTGTTTCTACTACCTTTATCAATAATATTTTCTAACTTGCCTGGAATCCGTAACACCTTGACTTTTTTTTTTTTTTTTTTTTTTTTTTTTTTTTGGTACTGGGGATTGAACTTGGGACCTTGTGCTTGTGAGGCAGGTCGTGGAACCACTGAGCTAAATCCCCAGCCCAATTTGGGGCATTTTCTACTTGATTCTCCCTTGACACAGGAAGGTAATCACTCACCAAGTCTTTCTGTGACACTCACCCAACCCTCACTTCTTTTCTGTTTCCAATACCACTCATCTATTTCAGATGTCTCTTCTGAACTACTTCATAATCTCTCACCTGTTTTCTTGATTCTCATTCCTCTGTTTACAATCTTTTGTACATGTACCTGTCACATGCCCTTCAGAAATGGTCAAAAACCTCTGACAGTTTCCCCATTACTTATATAACAGTCTGAAATTATGCCATTAATCATTTAGTAATTCAAAAAATATTTATTGAGTACCCACTATGTGCCAGACACTGTTTTAGACTTTGGGACATATTAATAAAGAGAAAATGTTTAATCTTATCTCTTAACCTGATCTTTGTCTGTCTCTTACACTACTAGCCCCTGACATGATTTTGAGCATTATCTCTATACACATATCTCTATACCAGGATCGGTAATTTTTTTTTTTTTCGTATCAGGGATGGTACTAAGGTCCTTGTGCTTTCAAGGCAGGTGGCAGAAACACTGAGCTAAATCCCCAGTCCAGGATCAGTAAATTTATTGTGGTGTATTTTTATTTTCAACAAGGCCTACACAGGCCCAATTATATATTGGATCCAGTAGGAAGTGAGCAAGACAGATACAGTCTTTTCTGTCCATCCACCTCTGAGGCCTTTTCCTTTCCTTACCTGTGACCATGTTTTCTTACCTCCCTTTATGCTCAGTGAAATAGAAATCAGTACTCAATAATGTTCCCTGACTCTCATAAAGTGAAGCACCAATTTATCCTTTGTTTGAGTTGAAAAAAGTCAAATTTAACAGGAGCATAGTTGTACAAGATGACCAATGAAGATAAGAATATGTCATATTTGTATGATGCCCTGTAAAGCCTGAAACATAATTGAGCAAAGTTTGTGGACTCATATTCACCAGGACAGATACCTGCAAGTGTTAGTTTAGGCAGCCCTTTCATTTTTCTCAAGTAAAACTTAAATTCTTGTTGTTGGAGTGCTCTTTGGTATAGGTGAGTCCCACAAACTTGGAGGCTGTCAAAAATCCTTTCTCAAGCTACCTTCAGACTTAGAGGACGGTTTGGTGACAAAATTCATGTGGAAAGAAAAGTTTTCAAGATCATGAATATTCTCCGCATTTATGAAAACTTCTGAAATACAGAGGCTTTATATTCAATAGCAGTCAGCAAGTGGTACTGTTTCTATTCAACTGGTAAGTGAATTGTTAGAAGCAGGGAGAAACAAAAGCATTCTAAACTCCAATTTTTAATCCTCTATCTAACTATAGCTTTGTTGAGGAAAGAAAAAAACATGCCTGAGCCAAACCAAATGACATGTGAACACTTCCATCAGGCATACAGCTGCCAGAGTGGTCCCTAATGTGCTCCCAACATCCGGTTCCAGCTTTTCCTCCCCTTCCTCCCCTGCAGACAGAACATCTTCCACCCAATCTGGACAGGCCACCATGTCTGGAACATACTCTGAGGACAGCTCATGTGATTATTGCAATTCTGCTTACTAGAACTCGGCCACTGTGACCTGGGTCAACCTGACAGTAACTGCTGACCCAGACCCAGGTCTGGAGCACTTTTGGGTCTCTCCTGCTGCAAGTTCAGATTGGTTCAGGCAACCAGACTAATGCTGACCATTGGGCAGAATTTAAGGAGACCTCTCCAGATGTGCAAAGGAAGAAGAAAGAGATGCTTGGTGGAGAGGTTGGTGCAGTCTGCCTTCAACAGATATCAGATTCAAACAGATGAAACACAAACATGTCACTAACCCTAACATCAGGTCAATCCTAGAGCATCAACCAACACCAATGGCCAATGCCCATGAGCATTCATCTGCTCATTCCCCCATGCTCTCACATAAGTGTAAGTAGGTACCTCTCAATTGAGCAAATCAAGTAAATTCTAGTAAGCTAGAAGTCAATGAAGTATGAATTTCCATTGACCAGAATATGATGGGTTTGTTCATATAAATGACATTTCAGCCACAATGAACTTATTATTTCCTGAACACACTGAATTATTGATATTATCTATTTAAAAATATCTCTTTTCTTTACCAGAAGGTATCATTTACATTTATCCTTAGGGACTTCCCTGGGAAGCTTCTTCCAATTGCCCCAGCCTTTCTAGAAGACTTTCCAGCCGCACCTCTGTTAATGGTTTATATCTAGATGTTCCCAAGAGCCTCAGATGCTCATAGGCAGGGCTTTTGGAAAAAGACTGGACCATGGGGCTCTATACCTGACTTGCTGTAGGAGATGGGGCCTGGTCGGAAGACACAAGTCCCTGGGAGTACATTTCCCTTCCTGGCTCCTGCCTTCCTCCTGGACACCATAATATGAGCAGCTTTCCTCTACCCAGACCCTTCGACCATGCTGTTTCTTCCTGAAGCCAGTCGACTATGCAAAGACTGACACTTCTAAAACATGAGCCAAATAAGCTTCTCCTTGTTTAAGTTGCACATGTCAGGTATCTTGTCCTCACAATAAGGAAAGTGACTAAGACAATCTTTCTCCATGCTTACCATCACTGGCTCCTCAAACTGTCCTTTTCTCAGCTTTCTTTGTTAATCTCCATTCTGTCTCAGGATCTTTGCACATGTATTCAACTCTTATAAAATGTTCCTGCCCATATTCCAACTCATGATCATCCCAGAACTGCAGCCCTAACTGCTCACTTGTACATGGAAGTAAGTCTCATCTCCCTCTGAATCTCAAATCAACTATCTCTGGTCCTCACTACTACTCACTCTCATAGAATCACATGCCTCTCCTTCCCTGCATTTAGCAGAGCTGTACTGGTAGAAGCATATTATTTGATCAAACACTATTTCCTCACTGATTTTAAATTTTCTTTTTTTTTCTTTCTCTCATTGAGTTTATTGGTACATTTTAGGTATACAGTACAGTTACATTCATTATTGGGATCTTGTACCTTTACCTGACAGGTCATGGTTCTCATTTTTTCCCCTGTCTCTGCCCTCCCTTCACCCGCTTGATTTTAAATTTTCTGAAGTGACTAGCAAAGTGACTAGTGGAATATAACAATTATTCAAAAAGTATTAACTGAATGAATGAATATCCTTTTATTTACATTATTTTATGTCACTATATTCCAGTTATCTATTTGTGTATTGGCCTCAAAGCCTAGCCCCTGCCAGCCATATCAGAGCCAAACAGTTTTCCAAAATTCATTTTAAAAGGGAAACAGACATTTATTTCTATTAATAATATCTTATATATCTATATGTAGTCATGACACATCTTAAGATAAAGATCTTAAGATCCTACGACTGATGACCCTCATACATTACTAAGGTTATGAAAAAAATGGCCTTAGAA